AACAGTCAGGTAAATTTATCGCATTGTTATTACAGTAGATAGGCCTTATGTGTATATACATACATAAAAAAGAAATGAGTAGTTGCATACAATTTTTTTCCATGAATCCATAAATCCCAAAAAGAAAGTGGGGTTCTCCCCCAGGAAAATTTTGATTCTTAGAAGGCGGGAAATGGGTTTTAGAAGGCGGGAAATGGGTTTTCCCGACTTCTGAGTTGTCTTTTAATTACTTTTAAGTTCTTTAAAATTCAAGGTTTTTCCCTCTTGAAAACGGTCAGGTAAATTTATTGCATTGATATTACAGTAGATAAGCCTTATGTATGTATACATACATTTAAAAAAATGAGTAGTTGCATACGATTTTTTCCATGAATCCACAAATCCCAAAAAGAAAGGGGGGTCCGGGGGTTCTCCCCCTGGAAAATTTTAATTCGTAGAAAGCGGGAATGAGCTTTCCCGACATATGAAGTGTGTTTTAATGACTTTTATGTTCTTCAAAATTCTAATTTTCTGATTCTAACATAAAAAAAAAAAAAAAAAAAAATCAGCTCACGGGTCCTGAAAAGGAATTTTTTTCCGGTCACACAAAAATCTCCAGACATTATTTTTTGCAAAAAAAGTGGGGGGGGGGGCCCGGGCCCCCGGGCCCCCGGCCCCCCGGTTCCGCCGGCCATGGCTGAGGCCCTGTGACAGGTCTTAAATGTACTTTACGGAAGTACAGTATCATACTACGCATCTGGACTTGAATGTCCATCGTCTGTTCAGTGTAACCTCACAAGTCAAAAAATACTGGGTGGAATCTACCCCTCCACATTCCCAACCATCCTCAGAGCCCTACAGTATTCTATAGTTTGATTATCAAGACGCAATATTTATGACTGTTGCGTTCATTCTCAGTGGACCTTTCCACTAAACCCCGCCCATTGGATATTGTTGCTAAGGTCTCGCAAAACGACAGTGTAAAAACACGTGTGTTTGAAAGACGCGCGTATTTCTGGCCCTGTTCTGATTGGTCAGTTGTTAATTTGATTGACACTACGGAAAGGTATTGAATATTTATATCTAGAGTTAGGGCTCGGCTTAGCATATTTCTTTTTATGTACAATATATTCTTAAGATGGTGTATTTCGTAATTTTGCATAGACCTAGATGTACAATTCCGAAATAAAAATGAAGAAATGAAATGAAAATCAAGGCTTATATTCAAAGTACGCCGACGCAGATGAGGAAATATAATCCAGAGCATGGTCAGCTTTCGTCACACTTGCAATTTCACAGGTACCCAATGTGCTTTTAAAGTTCACTGACTGACAATCTGCCATCCCTAAACATTTCCTTAAACACTCAATCTCACTGCGAGTTTGAGAGATGCTGTAGGACTTGTCGACGAGTGCGTGATTTTTGAACTTAGTGAACGTTCTAAAACTGTATGATCCATCTGTGAATGAAATCGATCGATATTAAAATACTTGTCAATTAAAATATTAGGACCTAATTGTAATGTTCGGTTTTAGTCACACTAAGGAACTTCCGATTACACAACAACTTACCCAATGAGGCACAGTTATATTCGTAGTACCACGGTAGGCATGCGCAGACAAAGTGATTGAAAAGATCTGTACACGTTCCTCCATTTTGGCACGGACCAGACGCGCATTCGTCAATGTCTAAAAGAAAATGAATAAATATAGACAAAAGAAGTATTAAGAATCAGGTTTTTTTTGTTATTGTGGTAATATAAAGGAAAAATTAATAGGAGGAAACAAAACTAAAGAAAACAAAAACAAACAATAGTAGTGGTAGTGGTTGTAGTAACAATGACCAGGACAAAAAATGTAACAACAATAAAATAACAATAACATTATCAATAATATTTGTGATGACGAAGATAGGAATATTATTAATATGAATGACCAAAATTAATTACATGCCATGAATTCAGTAAAATCGTGTGCACATTTTATGAATTTCTATTTAATTTACAAACCTGTTCTGGCCCACAATACACTAAAGAAATGCATAAGCTAACCCTGTTTATTAGAAGGATTACTACTTACACTGTAATCAATAATCATATGATGTATTATTTTAACGTAATGATAATTTCTATTATTAGGCAGTGGCTATGAACACGGTACCGTAAACTGTCTCGGTAATGATGAGCAGTGCTGGCGCCAGAGGGGGCGGGGGCTATAGCCACCCCGTCGGGGAAGCATAGCCCACCGTCGGGGAAGACGTTAAATTTTGTCGGGGAACAAACAAATTGAATAAAAAAATTTACATGTAATGTTCGTTTAGCCACCATATAATAATAATAATAATAATAATAACAATAATAATAATAATAATAATAATAATAATAATAATAATAATAATAATAATTCAATGAGACTAATTAAAAATAATTTGCGTTCTGTTATGACAAATGCTCATTTAGATAGCCTCGTGATGGTTGGAATACATCGTGAAAGGTGAAGCAACCTCGACCATGGTAGCGTGGTTGACAGATTTCATGCAAAATTTCCAAAATATAGAATTTAACTTTCTAGAATGAGGATTTGAAAATAGATAGAAATTATTATTACGTTTATCGTACGCTATCTCGGTAATGATAAAGAAGGCGGGATTGGCAACTCATCATCAGTGGTGGCGCCAGGACCTGCCCAACGGAGTGGCTAAAGGCCCGATTGGCGGGGGGGGGGGCTGGGGCTAGTGGAGCGAATCGAGTCTCACTTGGCTGGGGCCGGGGGGTCGCCTAGGCCCCCCCCCCCACAGGAAGCCACGGATATTTGATGAATTATGGTGAATTTTTATTACTTATTTGATAGGCATCGAGTTACTATAATATGACTTCATTTAGTCTATGCTTTCTAATGTTGAAATCTACGAAAGCCTATTCGTGCCACTTAAGTATATAAAATCATCAAAATGTAATCCGAAATTTCGGATTAGTATTCCGAAATAACGGATTAGTAATCCGTTATTTCGAATTAGTAACTCGTTATTTCGGATTACTAATCCGAAATTTCGAATTAGTAATTCGTTATTTCGAATTAGTAATCCGTTATTTCGGATTACTAATCCGAAATT